TTTAACGATCCTAAGGTAGCCAAGCCAACTTTAAGATAGTTGGCTGATCAATACTCATCCAAAACGTTTTCTTGTTATTATTCTAGAAGAATATGTTTTATTCACTAAAACAAATATATTAGTTGTATATTTAAGATAGTTAATTATAGGCTTATTATAATAAATGCTTAGCAACATTTTCATGTTCAAATCACTTATTACTGAATTTATAAATTAATGAATTTTTATAGAAGTATGTAAAACTATTATCCGTATTTGAAATGTATACTCCCCGAAGTATCAAGTAGAATATATAAGTACATTTGCGGTACTATATTTTAGCAATTTCACGAGGTAGTTTCTCTAATCGATCCACCGTTCAATTTAATCGTGGGTCGAACCCCTAGCGATATCCTCAGACTAAATCGTATCCGTCCGGCGGGAGTGAGACTTCAGCCGCTCCATAAGTCCTTCCGCAGGTTTGGAGTGACATATGCACTCGCCCCCTATCGTCCGGTGAAGCTGTAAAGGCCATCTGCGGCGAACAGAGAGTAGTCCCAAAAAAAACGAGGTAGGAGAAAATCTGTCTTTTTAATTAAAAAATAACCTAGAAAGTGATGAGATTGGTGATGAAAGTATATTTAGATAATGGCGCGAGTAACATTTAGTAATAAACATTATTTTTTGTATATTTGCCACCCTCACTATGTTTTGCGGAGCATAAGACAAATTGCAAAGTGTATTTTCTCACACTATACAACAAAATCATGTAGCCAGCTATATTTACTACGCACGTGCGATCTCTATATTAATGGCTTACAATAAACATTTAGATTTGCCACATTTATTATTTTATCGTGTTTTAAGCCACTATAAGTCTAACAAAGTGTGGGTGTTTAGAGGAATTCTATTCGTGACATATAATTTATATCACTCATATACCTATAGTCTGTTTTTTTTTAATCCCGGAGACTTTTTAAAGTAATGTTAGCAGGGTAGTGTGTACCTGCAATATCGATTTGTTTAATCGGAAACTTTTATTTTAACATATTTTATATACTTCTAAAACTTTAAATGACGTTCCTACAACAGATTTTTAAAATTTACGTACACATACTAGTGTTTCCTTTTACTGTCGTCGAATTATACAATATAAAAATACATTTTTGTCATTTCCGTATTTTTACAGTATAAAGCTACAAACAAATATTTGTTTTCTTTCAAACAGCTAAATATTTTAAATAGGTGTTTGTTTTATGATATATGACACTATAAGAAAAACACGATCTGGATTACTTTTTACACGAATTAACGGGTAATGCAGTAACGCCACGGTATATAGTTAGACTATACTAATTTTTTTTTTTCTTTGTTTGTTTGTAATAGATAAATTAAAAAAGTACTCGACCTATTTTTTAAATTCTCACTCTTCATATTCAGTCACAATCTTTCACTCCTTATGTCACAGACTTCCACATCCACAATACGTTCACCACACCACACAAATCACAAATCCACCAAACGTTTAAAAATAATATATAATCTATGTTCGCTCTCGCAATATCAACTATCTTCATATCTAACTTCACTAAAATCCGTTCAGCCATTTACTTTTGAAAAGGTAACAAACAGATATACTTCTGTGTAATATATTACATTAATTGATTACATAGTGCATCTATGTAATCAGCTAGTATTACATAGGCTACACATGACGTAGGCATCGTCTCGAGTTATTTAGTAATTAATATTGATTTAATCAATTTTACTACCAGTATCTTGTCAGAATCATTCACACATAAAGATATTATTATCCTCTTAATATCTTAGTTTACTAATTTTCTCACGACTCATTTCTTCACACCGGGTGTGAACATAACACTTAATAAACACTTAACCCGTTTGTATCATCAAGATAAGCCTGATAACGTGGATCAAAGATTTTTATTGACCACAAGGAAATAATTACATGTAAACGAGTACATTTTAATACCTCAAAGAGGTTCCTAGGCGTGTTATTCAATTACACGTGATACTCGTAGTTATATTATATTGAAGCCTAATAAATTATAATAACATACATATAATAAGTTAAGCTACACTTATAGAAATTCAATAATCTGTATGTTTTAAAAGATTTATATATATAATTATATAAATACTACTTAATATTATAAATGCGAAAGTAAGTCAGTATCTGACTGTCTGTCTATCTCGCTTTCAAGTCAAAACTACTGAACCGATTTAATTGAAATTTGGTATTGGTAGATAAAATTGGTACATCGATATTCTAAACCATGGGTTAGGACATAGACTACTTTTTAATGCATAAAAGGGTTGTAATAGAGGACTTGATGGTTGTATGGAAGTATCGTAATTTTTCAAGCTAAGAACTAGAAACTTATTTTTTAGGCTATTGATTAAATATGTATTAATATGACACACAGTTTGTAAAATAAATATTCGGATTCGATTCCTCGCACGCGTATACTTATATTCATAAGTATGTTTGTATCGGTGTTTTCTATGTATACGTGTATTATGTATGTATTAACAAAAAAAAATTGTAAACCTACCTACTTTGGGTCCCCGTTGGTTGATGCATTCTTATCAACGCAAGTTAAGTGTTAGTAGAGTAGAAAGGGAATATGAAAACATAATACAATTCTTTCTCTAACGTTCAGATTGAAACCCGAACTTTATAAGCAACTTTTAAATTCACTTAACTTTTGAAAGTAAACCTGTTAATTATGTACTCATCAATTTCGTTTGTGATAACCGAGATGAGATGTTGCGCAGTTTTGAGTGACGTTACAATTTTAATACGATAGATTGAGGGGCAAAGATCAATAGTTCATTGGCAATACATGGCAACACTGACGCTTCCAATGCCATTAATTAACTTTCAAAGTAATTGCAACTCTCTAATTATTTTATAACATCCATTTATTCAGAACTAATCCAAATATATGTTATAGTATCGTAGCCATATTTAGTATATTTGAATAAACTTTGAATCGAAAGAGTTACTTCATTTGACTGTACATTTTAGTTAAAATAGCTTCCCTTATTAATTGCAACTATAATTCTGTCAGGTTAAAATGAAATCTACTTAAAAGTTATAAATAATAATGATAAAGTTAATGGAAACGTACTCTACTCATAGTAAATATGAGTGCTGTATGTGTATGTTTGTTTCATAGTTCATAGTAGTTATTGTGTAAAATTAAAAGGTAATAATCTATTTAATAATGGGTAATGTAATAACGCCGCTATTATCTAATATACAATTAGTCTAGTTATAATATAATTTATGATGCTGTGAAATTGTTAATATATTAATATTATAGAGCCGTTAACACCTCCAGTTAACACTGGCGATAAAACCACCAAAAAACGTGACGTGACTCGCCTACTTTTTATAATCTACATAATTTCAATTCTAAGGCCCAAAGGTCAGTATAATAATGAAATCAGCAAACATTTTTTGGACCTCGAAACGATTATAAACGGTCTCCTTAAATTTATAACTAGCTTCTGCTCACGATTTCGTCCACTTGACTATGATTGAGTGGAAGTATAGTACTTTATAGTAATTCTTCTTCTTAAGCATATAGGCTATTCGATTCTTCCCTATGCCAAACGTTACGTATCTGCCGTTACGACGTTTAAGTATAACTATGTAATATTATGTTATCTGTGGTATAACAAACAAATAAACAATCAAATATTCGCATTAGTATCCATTTATTAGATGATAGTCAATTGTGGTTCAGAGATCATAAAGTCAGTAATTCATTCTATGGTAATTGCGTAAGATTTTATAATAAACTGCCAGAATCTGCACTAAATCTGACAGAGAGGCAATTCAAATCTTATATTAAACAATTTTTGTGTAAGAAAGCCTATTACAGGATAGACGAATTCATAGACGACAACATATCAAGTAAATAACTAGTTTATTAGCATACAACGTTATAATTTAATTTTCTCATTGCTTTCTTGATTTAATTGATTGATTTTAGAAATATGAAAGCGTAGCGGTTTTTGTATTGATTGCCGCATGCATTCTTATGTAAAATGTGAATACTATAACTATCAGATAGCAATTGTAAGTAGCTTTGACGTAGTCTAGTGTTTTGAGTAGTCATGCTCACTAAAATGTCCAAACTTGTGGCGGCATGGTGGGCCGGGTCATTGGGCTCCCTAAAAATGGTCGAGCGCATGGCTGGCTCATCCGTCATACTCGTGAACGGGTGCTGCTTGTAGGGACTGGTCTGCTCTAATCACTATGACTGATTTCCTCTTATTAATTGTTTAACCAGTTGGTTATATATTCAATATTATTTCTATTTGAGTATTTAATAGAATTAGTGCTAATTGGTGGTTTGTATTCACACACTTAAACTTAAAAATGTAAAGTAATAATAAATTATTTAAAAGAGCAACACGCAAGTTTCTTGCTCGTTCTTCTTGTGATGAGACAGCTTTCCGAACGAGCGGTAGATTAAAAAATGTAATGACTATTCAAAAGTGCTTCAATGTAAGTTTATTTGAATAAATGATTTTCTATTCTATTCTATTCTATTCTATTCAAATTCTAATTCAAGTTCTAGGAATAATAGTAATTTCATTTACTTTTGCTTCACGGGGGACAGTTAATACATTTTTCCCCTCTCATTTATATCAATATTCAGTAATATAATCGATAATAATAATAATAATATTAATATTAATAATAATCTTAGGACAATTCACACAGTGCCATCTAGACCCAAGTTAAGCTAGCTAAAGCTTGTGTTATGGGTACTAGATAACTGATACAAATACATAGATATTTTTTTTTTTTGTAAATACATACATATTATACATAGAAAACACCCAGACCGATACAAACAATCATACTCATGAATACAAATGTTTGTGCCGTGCGAGGAATCGAACCCGCGACCATCGGTCGTAAAACGGTGTACTAGACCGCTGGACCACCGAGGTCGTCATCGATGTATAGGCACACTTACTTTTTGGTCACCGAACCGCATCTGTCTTCTTGCATTTCGTGCCACATTCATCCGACAGAGGAACACCCTGTCCTCACCATCCGTTGGAGTCCTGGAGAGCTCCGTCCGGACTGATTGTTGATCTTGTTTGTCGATCACATCGTAAACACTGTCCCCGTGTATTAGTAGGTCCTCCTGTGAGCAACAAGTGGAAATATTATTCATATTTTCGTATATAGTTATGGCAAACAAGAGAACGACCCAACAGTTTCTATGTTATTTTCTTCAACTTATTCTAATGTTATTGGCAGCAGCTGGTCTTTACAGCTTAACGGGAGGACTTATGGAACGGCTGAAGGCCAACTTCTGTACTACGGAGTGGTTAGAACCTGGACTCAGCCCGTTGTAATTTCGATTACCATATGAATTAGACGGGGATCAGATCAGAAGGGCCCAAAATATTGTTTTAATCGTCGCCTAAATACATGAAATAAACTACGGACCCTATGTTATCAAGCGACACGAATCATCCATGCCATTTGTGTCTATAATTTTACTGGTATATCGCCTTCCACTGAAACACATTATGGCTTGGCGGTTGAAAAAGGCGAAACTGAGGTACACATGGAGTACTTTACGAATCATAATCTTATATAATTAAGCTTAGTTCTATATCTGAATTCTGGAGTGTTCATTGGGAGGACCCAACGTCCAAGACTATGATTTATATATTTAATTACACTACACTATATTTCTCCTTTATCTAAAAAACAATAACAGAATCCATTCAATCATCACATTCATCACCAATAACAAAATATCCTAAGCCTAAAATGACACAACTGGAACTGTTTAGCGAAACGAAACAAAAGAAAGGCTGTGTGCACACGGAATGCTAATTGCGGTGCCGCGGTATCAAATCCGTCGCCGCAGAGTAAAGCAAATGCGTTTATTTTTAAACAGGCGTATACTTAACGTAGATTACTTCGACATTTTCATCAGTACGGTAACCGCAAGGCATTATTTTAATCGCGGACGCGGCACCTCTTGTGTATAACGTTTCCTAGCTTTAAGCGGTATGAACTATTAGTACTTAAGTTTTTTTTTCAGTAAAATTACCTAAAGTATATATTTTTTTATATATATACTATAATTAAATCAAAATATCTTTATTACTGTAGGTCTATTACAGACTCTTTTGAAATTTCAAATCTACAAATCTTTTCTCGTATGTTATGTTATGTTAGTTACCATACTCCTCCGAACCGGCTTGACCAATTTTTCTGCATATTCGTACGTCTGAGAATCGGCTACTATCTATTTTTCGTATCCCTAAGTGACAAGGGTTGTCCACCTCTAGCATTTATTTTTTATAATTTGGATAACAATTTTTTATAATGTGGCATTAAAAAATACATACAACCCTAGGTTTTCACTCGTCTAGCATAAACCCCTATTTATTAATAGCGATTTTAATTTATATGGCAAAACAGCGTTTGCGGGGTCAGCTACTAATAATCTATTATATAATGCACAATATACTATCCTATATCCATATTGATATATAATATCAAAGGGATAGTCAGCAGTGGAGAGAGTCTGTAGTAGGTAGATATAGGTTAACTATTGTGTCAAAAAGCAGATGAACTAATATGTCATTGTTTGATTAGAAAATAATTGTTAAATATAGAACAATTAAACAAAATACAAGTATAATATTTATATGTAAAATAGAATTTATAAGATAAGAACTGTCAATAACATCTAACCTTGTAATGTATTAATCATTATAAGATTACAAACAGGTAGACAGAAAGGCAGACAGTCATACTTTGGGGTTTATAACCACCTTGCTTAAAGTTAACACCCAATAAAGTAATTAGTTTTTTATCCATTAAAGATACAATTTCTTTTACTTACCTGTATATTGATTCTAAGTAAATTGCTTTTTCAAATTAATAGCTAACTAGTTGGTATAAAACTAAGCAGACATTTAATGATAATTACAGTTTTCATACATCCCAGCTCACAGGCCCCATTCGACCCCTTGTATTAAGGGTCACAAAAGTGTACTGCGAAGCTTTCTATTAAGGTAAACAATTAACTCACGTTTACTATAATTACTTTAATTAAATCATTTTCTTCAGATTCCTTCTTTATTGCGAGGGTTTTAATCGGGAAGGTTCTTGGTAATTTCAAACTGTCAAGGTTTGGAAATGTAGTCATTAATTAAACTATAATGTGGATGTGTGGGGTGGTCAATAGATAATTGACTTAAATATATATGTAAAAGAGAATATATTGCAGTAGTCACAGAACAACTTTCATTGTTTTACTCAATTGCGAATGAACATAGAGTTACAAGTACTTTACTTGTTAAGACATGTACTCGTATACATATCTATCTATACGGCTATTGGTCTGGATATAACTGAATTCTTTTACTACATCTCATCTGCTTCTTATAATCTTCTAATATATATTTTTATTATGCAGTTAAGAATACCCATATATGAGAATTTTATATATATTCATATATAAAACTTAGTCTTAGTTTTAACCACTACTGATAACTCAAATTTTTAATTTGTTGGCATCGTCTCCACCCAAAATAGCAGATTAACTATTAAAATAAATAAAAAAATCATAAAAAGAAAGATATTTTGAAATATACAAATACTCGAATCAAATTGACACAATTCACTGTTAGATTCAAACTCAAAAACACATATTCAAAAATATTTATTAACATAGTACTTTTCGACCTGTTGTACGTCATATTTTTTATCATATTATATATGTAATATTATTATTTGTATTTTACAATCAACAGGAATATATTTCATATTAGATGAATATTGTTGTAGAAATTTTCTTATGGCTTATTTGCCTCGAACAAAAAGGCATAACATTTCTATTCAGTTTAAACGCATATTATTTTACATGGCCGGTCGTTTGACGTCACAGCCATGACGCAGACGTCACGTGTCGTCACTCTGCCCCACCTACCCGTCGCATGCTGGCGTTAAGACATAATGGTGCGCGTGCGCCGGTCAACCGCCCACGCAAATCAGCCGTGGGGGGCAAAGCATATATATATAAGCATTAAATTGTTGTGAAAACTCACATTTATTAACTGGCAACAAATTATTTTACAATAGGTCATACAGTTTATTTTACTATCAGATATTTTTGGGAATATTTAATCTAATCGTACAATTAGAAAAAATGTTTAAATCGTCATTACCACGGGTAAACTGAAGAGCAGCGGGTAGGTGGTAAATCAAAATCATAGATTTGTGGTTTTTATAAATTGTACGTAGAAATAAATAATGACTACGTCAAATTTTAAACAGTATATATTAAAAATAACTTTTGAGATGAATTAATTAATAATTTGTTTTATTAAACACCTACTGTTCTTATCGACTGTGTTGGTATCTTTTCGACTAAAATGCGAAAAACAAAATGATATGAACGATATCATTTTGTATATATATAAAAAAAAAATACAAATAAGAAATTAATACAGGTACTCTATTCTATAGTGAGTCATTTATATCCATCGAACGATATAACGAATTAATTAATGATAAAAGTTTAGGTTTCGGTTCCGTAGTAATTTTATTATTTGTACAAAAAAAATCTATGCAACTATTTTTTTATCAGAAATCTTGTTAAAAAGTATTGCTGTTGTTACTTGCTGAATTAATAGTTGAAATCTAACTGAGCTTTGAAACTCAGCGTCCAATCGTAGCTAGAAATCGCGCACCATTGTACAGGCTCGACCTCCTAACATTTACTGACTAAAGTACCAACACCATCTGTCCGCTAAGTTGAATTTATTGTTCAGACTTGCATACTTAATTTGGTAATAAATGTATATTCACTTATTATAAAACTATTTATGTAGTTACATACAATATGATGCAATAAAAGAAAATTCACTATAACAATGTTCTCCCAGATAATCTTTGTAAAAAGTCATTTACGTGGGTACCTAAGTGTTACCTGTTTCAGATGCCAAGCAGCTTGTTTTATAAGCTCTATTTCGGTTGTAGGGTGAAAATAAGGTACTAAGATTACATGATATGGAGGCATCTTAACCCACCAAGACTGCAACGCTTGCGTGGTATTACGTGGTATGACAGCGTGATGTCCGTAATACTGCTCAAGTATATAGGAAACGGTTACCACTATCACATTTGCCACCAGCTTGTAAACTATTTCAATTACATCATAAAAGAAAGTATACGAAAAATGAAAAATCTAATTTATTGTAAAATACTACCACGTACCCACGTAGCTTCTCCCGGGTACTCATAACTTTGTGAAATTTGTATTTGTAAATATAATATATAGTCTATGTAACAGAAATAATAAAAATAATTTAAATCACCCGCCCGCACTAACGGTATATGCTGGTAAGGCATCAGTGAAGGATGATAAGACGAGCTGGGAGTCAGGTCAGTTAGCCCACTATGTGGCGATTTGATCAAAAATTAACCGAATTGATTAATTCGTGATTTTGTTAGTGAGTAGATTATAAACAAAAAAAAAATAGACTTCAATGTTATTATTGGGAGTACTTCTGTAATGCAGCATGATTATACTATAATTATATAGAAATAGATATGCTATCGCTACATTTTGTTTACAAAATATTGTAAAATCCGGTTTAAAGAACAGTTAAAATTAACCAAGAGCTAGAGCGAAATAAGGAAAATATGAAATAAAAACAAACCACTTGGCTAGCTGGTCATAGCAGGCTAATATCTCAGTTCTTATAGAGAGATATGTTAATAGATTTATTTGAGTTCAACTCTATGACATACATAGAGTTGAACTATCACTTTGCTAGTGATAGTTTTCTTCAACTTTACTCCCTTAGGATAAAGTTATTCTATATATTATGAAAACATATCTGTTTAAACGTGATTGAGTATGAGTAATTCAAAGGTCTTTATATATTTTCATATTTATAACCAACTAATAGCATTTATCGTATTTATATTACTTATTTCCCAAATTAACTTAAATTGGATTTCAATTTTAAATCACAACGCCTTATTACTAAAATAGCTTTTAGTTATGGTAAAAAACACCGTAATTTTAAATTCATAACATTTTTAAGACAAATTTATTGAATTAATATCCTTTTGTAATTGTTGGTGGCCCCTATATTTTAGTATCTA